GAAGCTTCTTCTCAGTCGCATCCTCATTGTGTAGGTACTCAGTCAGCAAGCCACGGCTCTTGACTCGGCCAATCGCCTCTCCCTCTTCACCCAGCTTGGCTGGTACACAGAATCCCGTCTTGGGATCGCGGTAGGGCATCTCGGTCTCGGTATCGTACTTGACGATGAACGTATCGTCCTCGAACCGTCGCTTAATGGGACCAGAAAATCCCACCTTTCCAGCTCCCCATGCTCCTTCACCCCAGTTATCAAACTTGGCCACGCCTTCCGTTGACCGATAGAACTCGCGAATCTCCGGGACTCCAAAACGTTGGCGGAAGCGCTCCCAAATTTCTCCGCGCAAACCGTTGCCACTCGCAACAATACAATTATGATCACGATCATAAGGGGAAGGGGGTGTTGAAAGCAAATATCTGCAGAGCTCGCCGATGTATAGGATACGTGTGGCTTTCGAATCATGGACGTCCTTCCAGAATTGAGAAGCGGAGAACTTGCGCCGAAGGCAAAGAGTGCTTGCATTTCCAACCGAATAGCAGAGACCAGTGAAGAACGCCGTACCATGGAAAAGTGGGAGAGGGGAGTATGTGCGCAGGGGGTAGTACTTGGAGCGGTCATCGAGATCGGTCGTGTTAGGGTTAGACGTGACAAGAGTCATCATGTTGCGGATGGCACAGGCCTTGGGCTTGCCTGTCGTTCCCGAGGTGTAAATCAGTGCACTCAAATCGCTGATAGATCTTTTAGCGGCGGTTGTCGCTGAAGGGGAGTATTGTTGTAGATCGGACGGCGTGATCACTTGGATTTCTCCCGCAGAGCTGCTGTCAAAGGAACCTAGGTTCAAAGCCAAATGAGGCAGTTCGGAACACACGAATTCCGACAGGTCGGGTGTGGACACAATAAATTTGCTTCCAGAGACGTTCAGACAATGGGTGAATGTATCATCTATCCAGAGCATTGTCAGTAAGTAATTGCCCCAATACATGTACAAGAATGTCAAATCTTCATACCGCGCAGGTTGGTGTTAATGAGAGCAGCAACAGCACCCAACTTAGAGAGTGCATAGATCGTCACCACCATCTCCGGGGCATTCGTGGTGAAGACGCCCACGAAATCCCCGGCATGGATATCCTTGGTGTGAAGCAAGGACGCAAATCTATCAACAACTATAAACTCGAGTCAGTCAAAAGAGCACGCAAGCCAGTAGTATACGGATTTTCACATACGATCTTTCAGCTGGCTATAAGTCCACGTCTTGTGTTCAAACCACAAGGCCTCGGCTGCACCCTGTCCGTCGACTTCCACCACCCGTTCCAGCATCTTATATAGCGTGGCGGTATCGCCCAGCTGGGCAATCCGCTGACCCAGGCGATTTGCCCATGATCGTTCTTTGTATAGCAATGAGAGATCAGTCGAGATGGAGAATTTGGCGTTGATGTATGCCCCTGCAGCGGCTGAAAGAGCCGATGCAATTGCTATGGAGGGGCCACCCAATTCGGAGAAGTACTCCATGAGGAAGATGATGCTGTGGTGATAATTTCTGTATGATGGGGAAGAATACTTGTTACAGAAGACAAGGAATGAACAACCTCTTCTGGTGTCTCACACTCAGTTGTTGAGATGAATTTGAGTCAATTGCGGGACAGATAGTAGCGAATTCGGACATTCAACCCCGCATCAAGAAGAGTTTCAATTATCAAAATAGAGACATAGCTCCGCTCTAATACGGGGAAGTGGGCAGATATAGGAACAGAATTGTGTCATGAAAATCCAAGCGCTCGGAATCTGGGGTCGGGACGTGAGCCACCGAAAGCTGCCGTCCAGTGGTGGGGGTTACTAGTGTTGACTACATACACTTAGTCTAGTTATTGGTATGTACTTTGTAAGCATGCCTGGAGAAAAGCAAGCAGCGGCAAAAGAATGTTGAGCTGGCTTCCGAGATAACGCGCGGGCGCAGGTCCGAGCCAGATTCCCTTGCGTTCTGCAATGCAGTTTTAGATCCATACTTCGTGAACATATACCTCCAAATCTTCTGTAGAGATACTAAGCCGCCGGCATGAAGTGGACTCCAATGTCCATCTCATACTAGAAATTTGATTGCGAACATCAACTGGCAGTGTCTACTGATCTTGATAACCAACCCTGGACATAGATTAGGTCTCTCATCACTGCGACTCTTCAGCAGATCCGGGGAGGCAATTCTGGACGCTAAACCGGCCCGTCATTGACCCACACAATTAACCGACGGTAATGGCGCTGTATTGGTGACCATCTTACCGGAGGCAGAGAGTGGCCAACTTCCCGCAATACCTGCACTTTTTGGAAAAGGACCGACAACCGAGGCGATTAGAGTGACGGTATCATACCGCCGTGTAACCAAAAGGCGGCATTTCTCTCGGCTGCCACTCACTCGGTCTGGCCTTTGAAACCCGCTGGGCCTGCAGGCGTTTGATACCGAGACGAGTTTCGGCTCGGTGGCTTTTGCCCAGTAATTTACTGTATTGTCCAACTTTGGGTTTCTGGGAGCCGCGGTTGTTCTTTTGATCCCCCGTGTTTGCCCCAGGTTCATTATAATTAAAGATTGTTTCCAAGATAAGAAAATATAGCTAATCTCTCTTCTTTTCTCATTCCTTATATTTTTCTCTGTCTGTCAAATCTCGAAAGAGCTACTCCGTTTCCAGAAGCAGATTAGTATTGGTAGTAGTCATACGAGGAAAGAAAAAAGAAGCAGCTTAAATCATGTCTTCTGCACAGCAACGATTGACCTCGATCGCAAACCAGCTTTCGGGCCCCGGTGCGGCGTCTGGAAAGCAGAGAGTCTTGTCCAAGAACCCCGACGATATTGTATGGATTTGCGCACTTTTATCATCCGTCTCTGGTAACAGAATCTAACAAGTGGCAGGTGATTACACTGGCCGTTCGGACCCCGCTCACAAAGGCCAGAAAGGGCGGCTTGAAAGACACGAAACTCGATGATCTTCTCATCTCATTGCTGACGGTATTGTCTTCCCATCCTCTTCAGCGCCGACATGTTCTCCGTCTCATATAACTTCTAGTCCGTCCGTGAAAAATCGAATCTTGACCCCAATCTTGTCGAAGATGTTTGCGTTGGAAATGTGCTGTGCCCCGGCGCAGCTTACGTCGCCCGTTCAGCTGTGCTAGCCGCAGGATTTCCGGTCACAGCTGCTGCTTCGGTCGCCAATCGATTCTGTTCCTCCGGGTTGCTCGCCGTCCAGAATATTGCCAACCAGATCATGGCTGGCTCTATTGACGTTGGTATAGCTGTGGGGGCCGAGAGTATGAGCACCAACGCCGACGGTGGCTCTCCCGAAATGTCCTCCAAGATCATGAATCACCCGATCGCCTCGCAGAATATCCAACCTATGGGGCAGACATCCGAGAATGTTGCCTCACAGTTCAACATTACGCGTGAACAGCATGACAGGTTTGCCGCCAACAGCTACCAGAAAGCTGAGCATGCCCAGAAGGCTGGGTGGTTCAACGACGAGATTGTCCCGGTGAAGACGGTGATTAAAGACCCCAAGACGGGCGAGACCAAGGAAGTTGTCGTCGACCGGGATGATGGTATTCGTTACGGTACCACGGCTGAGTCTCTAGGCAAGATCCGCTCTGCGTTCCCTCAATGGACGCCTAGCGCTACTACAGGCGGCAATGCCAGTCAGATTACCGATGGTGCTGCCGGTCTCATTCTCATGAAGCGATCTCGCGCCCAAGAGCTCGGTCAACCCATCGTAGCCAAGTTCTGCGGTGCTACAGTTGCAGGCCTGGAACCTAGAATCATGGGCATTGGACCATCGATCGCCATTCCCAAGATTCTTTCCAAGTTCGGTCTGAGCAAGGAAGATATCGACATCTTTGAAATTAACGAGGCATTCGCCTCAATGGTAAGTGGGCATCTCTCGTCCGGCCATAACAACTTGCTGATTTTGGTATAGGGAACGTATTGCGTTCAGAAGCTCGGCCTGGATGAGGCCAAAGTTAACCCCCGTGGCGGTGCCATGTAAGTCTTGAATCGTCGAATCCAAGCCTCATGATGCTGACGATTAGCAGTGCTTTTGGCCACCCTCTAGGCTGCACAGGAGCGCGCCAGGTGGTGACCGCCCTTTCGGAGTTGCGCCGACAAAATAAGAGGATTGCAGTTACCTCGATGTGTGTTGGAACGGTAAGATATTCTATGAATTTGTGCACCTTGCAGATGTCGGACTTCAGGCTAATAACGTTTTTATAGGGTATGGGCATGGCTGGTATCTTCGTTTCTGAGCATTGAGCGTGATATCATATTAATATTGATATTATACCTTGTAAATAGTAGCCTTCACAATGACGATTCTACTTTCAGGTTGACTTGGAAAATCATCTGGAGTTCACTTTGACCCGCTTCAGGCCTATAAGAAACATGGGCGATTGCGGTGCAGTAGTAGTTGTGTGGATTGAAAGAAACGTACCATATAGTTATCTAGATGTATGGACGTTGTAAATCAATAACGGCTGTGCTTCATCGGGGCGGTGGGTCATCCCTATGCCATAAGGGCTTCGGACTCCATAACTTTAGTGAGACGGGTAAGACATCCGTAGGGCTTATCGAAAGACAGCGAGGTCACGAAAAGAAAGACAAAACCATGATACAGCCCCTCGGCATGCATTTCCTTGTGTTCACTCCACGGTATGTTTGAGAAAGGGATCCATGGGATTTGATGATCTAGGACAAATGGTTCCTAGTGCCAAAAGTAAGGTCAGGCGCTAGTCCATCACGTGCATTCCCAATGCGTTCGTCGTCATCGGCGGCTGCCAAGACAGGAACCGCCGTCCCATGACACCGCTCTTCATCCTCTCTTGCCTCGTTTTGTCTCTCTTATCTGTACCTCTGGTGATTTCCCTTCCGTCAATACTCTCGCAAATATACTCCATATTAGCTTAGCTAGTCCTTCGCTATTACTTGATTTTTATACGGAACGAAAACTGCTGCTTTGTGCCCCTTTGCGACCATGAAGCTCTTATCAACCGCCGCTACATTCCTCCTCTGCGTCGCCCCCTTCTCTACCGCCCGGTCTTTGGACTTCTTCAACTCTCAAACTCCCATCCAAGCAGAAAATGAGGCTGTGAAAGGCGATAACCCCCTCGAGTACTGCAATGATCCTTCAAGCTATCTTTTGCAAATAGATCATGTCGACTTAACGCCTAATCCTCCTTTGCCGTACGCTTCAATAAGCCTGCCTTGCCTGAACTGGATCGCATACTGATCGCTCTATAGTGGAAAGACTCTCATCATCCAAGCCACGGGTACCCTGAATGAGAAGATCGAAGAGGGCGCTTATGTGAATCTGGAGGTCAAATATGGCTTGATTACTTTGGTCAGGCAGACGGCCGACCTGTGCGAGCAGATCGTCAATGTTGACCTCGAATGCCCTCTGGAGAAGGGCGAGATGACCTTGACTAAACAAGTTGAGCTGCCCAGACAGATCCCTCCGGTACGTGATTACCTATGGTACACCACTATCGATGTCGAATTTAACCAGGTCATGATCAATCAACAGGGCAAGTACACTGTGCATGCCGACGTTTACACCAAAGACGATAAGCATGTTACCTGCCTTCAGGCCCGTAACATCGAGTTCAAGGCTGGCTTTATGTGAAAGCTGACTCGGCACTTCTGAGTACATGGCCGCGATACATATTTAGCGCTGTTGACGCTGGATGTCCTTGCGTTTTATCGCCCATAACGAGCTGACGTTACTACTTGCATATGTTGTCGTTTTGTTTCTCCACTTGCCACTACTTAAGCCCGCCTTTATCCTCGAGCCTCACAGTGACATGCCAATGTTTACGAAAGCCATGCCACGCTCTACGATTGTTGCTAACTTTCCGTTCCGCTACGTCTTCAACGGTGTTTTGGGTCTTGGTTTAGTGCCACATATTGTAGTCCATCCTTATCATTGTTATTATAATTCGTGACCTTCTTTCACTGGCATTACCTAGCATCTGTACTAAAATTCATATGAAACATTGATCCCATTGACAGCATAGCCTATGAAGCGTGCTAGTAAGTAGTCAGGCTTAGTGACCAGCGCAGCGAAAAACCGGTAAAGGTGGGCTCTGTGAACTTAGTGTTGTCATGCAAAACGATGTAATTGGGTATCTTTCCCTCCGCCTTTCAGCTAACTCTCATTCCATCTGTATACTTCGCGAAACGGCAAACAAGAGATAGGGCAATGAGATAACACCACCAGATGGTAATACATATGAAACCTCAAATCAAAATTGAAAGCGTGTTATATCTACTCTCCAAACAGTCGTCGCACCCGCTTGAGTACACTGTCCTTCTCAGGGTCATACGGGTGGTCCTTGCTCGGGATCTCGAGAACGGCAGGGAAAGCCTCGGCGTAGGAATCGACGCTGTGTCGGATACGCTCTGCGATCTGTATTCAATCGTCAGTGGCGAGCTATAAACAATCAAAATACGGTATAATTCGCAGGCGTTGCAGGTTAAGGACACTGCGAAGTGTGACAAGGCACATACATGCTGGTTGATAAGGACAATGGCGATATCTTTCCTCTCCTGAGTAAAGTTCTGGAATGCTTTCTCGATCGCGGCGGTCTCAGTCTTCGAGTCTACCACAAGGAAGTTTCGCTGGGCATCCGCGCCATCGGTAACATGCTGCAATGTATCAAGTTAGTTGTGGTCCCATGTTTGCCTTTATCTAGCTGCCGTAGTTTGAGGATACGTACACCGACACCGGCAAGGAGGAGACCTGTTACAGAGCTGGTAATAAAAGGTTAGAGGAAGTGTTTCTCTCATGAGGTAGTAATGGTGTGGCTTACTCTTCATCTCCGATGACCGCAAGGAACTGTCGGTCCTGGATAAGGTGTATATGGTGAGTGACTGCTGGCAATGAGGAGGGGAAACCTCGGGATGTTACCTTGTATGATACGGCCGGAGCCGCCATGATTCTGGGAATAAGGAAGAAGCGGGCGTAAAGACAGTGAGCTGCTTATATATTGGCGAATTTCTGCGGCTACAGTTAGCTCGCGTCGCCCTGAGCCGATAAAGAAGGTGAATCTGTCCCTGGCGAGTCTGGCAATCCCGACTCTCTCGCGGGAGACGTCGTCATAACGGCGCCGGGGTCGCTTATCTAAGCCGGGGTCGCGCTCCACCCTTTGTTGTTGACAAGCGGAAAAGGAAAACTTCGGCTTCAAACTATCGCATTCATCAAAGGTTGGTCTCTATATACTCTGTATCTTGGTGCTCTATCTGCGGGCTATGGCTCTAATTCTTGTTCTCTGATTATCAAGCATCTCGCGTCGCCATTCTCACCATGCCCCGGCTTGTCCGCCGCCGACCGTTGACGGAGCGCATCAAGTCCTACTTGAATCCTCTGGACTTTCTCTTGTGGCTGTCGGAGGAGATCGATACTCATGACTGGGACCAGTTTGAGAAGAATTGGGCGCTCCCCCTGGGAATAGCTTTGAATGCGGTCTTTCTGATCGCCAGGGCCAACAGTCAATCGTACGGCAGTCAAGCCATAGATGATGTCTTTGGCGATGATGGAAGCACACCATGGCTCAGTTGGTTTGTATGTGACGCCTAATTGACTTCGAGTCTGCTTTGAATGAATATATGCCTCTATGTGCTGCATCGCTAACGTAAAGGGTGATAGTCTTCTTTCATAGTCCACCTTCTTACCACCTTCACCGCGTTTAACGCCTTCTATACATTCTACCGGAAGCGACATTATCGCATGTTTGAAGCATCAATCGATCAGGCTCCTGCAACTCCCTCCGCTCACCGAGTCCGTGTTAATTCGACTCCTGTGACCGCATCGCCACTGAAATATCTGGCGGATACGATAGCCAGATCGGCCCAGTCGAGAGCTCACCCAGACGCACAGCGAGATGTATGGGAACTTGCCGTCTGGGATCCTCTACCCATTTGCATTCGATTGTTCTGCCTCTTCAGTCCTGGACATGTCTTGGTATACTGGGTTTTTCTACCCACTCAGCTATCCGATCCTCGACCAAGCGTGACGATTGTGACCACTATCTTCATAGCGGCACTCCTCTCGGTACAGATGACGTTCCTTTCCTCGTCCTATACCCAGCAAGCAAAGGATTCTATGGTGGTTCATAAGGAGGTGCTCCGTGAATACGACACTAAATACGTTCACCCTCGTACTCAGCCGCTGATGAGAGATGTGGCCACTCAATTCTCCGAGTCCGATCCCGATGTTAAGCAGAATAAGGTTGACACCTTCACGCCCACTGTCGTGCTTCATAGAGGCTTTAAGACAAGCCCAAATCCCAACTACGTCAGCCATGTGGACCCCGAGGGCCGATCATCTGCGCGCCAATCCTTTGCAACGACACCTACCGGAGTATCTCATCGTGCTGCCGCGTTGCAGACCCCAAGCCACCTGCGGGATGCTTCTCCTATTGTGCGAAACTCTATCTCTGCAATCCGCCAGCCCCAATTTCGCCAGACACCGACGACCACGGGTGATGGTGGAAGTCTTGGCATTTACTCGCATGCCAACTCGCCTCTGAAGAAGTCTACGTCAGCCAACCTTGAACGTCGTCTCCAGAGCAATGGCGATTTCTTCTACAAGGAACGGGGAACAAGTGCAATGAGAAGGCCCTCTAGTCCCCTCAAGAGAAGTAATGTTCCCGCAGGCAGTCCCTTAACACCGGGACCGAGACGGGGTCAACTGGACGCACGCCGTGACAGTGGACGGTTTTAACATGGGTTGTTCGATTAAGGCGTCATGCGCCAACCATAACAATAGCATGGAAGGAGTAACTCTCATGTATAGTATGCTATAACATCATATCGGCGTTGTGATCAGGTCATCATTAAGACCGGGTACCTCTTGTGACCGTGGACTACTTTTGGAGCATCAGGTGCGGCGTTAATCATCCAAGCTTTCGGATCCTTGTTTCTCATTAAAAGCTTTTTCATTGTCTTTTGACTTCCCGTTCGCCCTTGTGCCACTTGCTTGGATTATCTTTCTGAAAACAATGGATGCCCGGGCTCTTTTGAGAATGTAGGCTGGGTTTTACTGATGGCCGATAGTGATCCAGCCGCTGAGCAACATGCTTAATACGAGGCTGGACGACTTCAAATTCACGGATATCAGTTCCGCATTCAAAGCAATTCTACATCGGCGCATCCTTGACCCTCGTTAATGGCATACTTTATATCGCCGGCAGCATCTAAATAGTCACTTCTTATGATTGCACCTTCACGTTCGTGAACCTGTGGCGTTCGCTGTTTCCACCCCAGGAATTCGCAAGTGACAAATGGAAGCAGCAAGTTCAGCTGCGCGATGCTTGCAGTTTCCATACCGAACTATGTCACAGGTCCAGGCCTACATTCCTTGATGACCTCTACCCGCCCGTTGCTACATTCCTAATAGTGGCCAGCCCTGGCGTACTATACATTCCACCCCTTATCATTACATACATTATCCCTACCCTACCACGCGGAACGCGCCCAGTGATGGGGTTGCCCTGCCAGCTTTCTTTCCAGACCCCTGTCGCGTTCCGATGAAACCACACCACCGACCGAACGCCCAACGCCTGCACGGGCGTAATTCTGCACACACTCGTCCGGAGAAGAAGTGCATTGAGAGATATTCCAGCGCTGGTGGAGGAATGGGTCATTGTTTTGACGTTGTCTGGCTTTAAGGTCGAAGCTGCTTGGGCTGCAGCAGTCCTCAACGGGTGAAGATGGAGGAATTCTTGCATCTACCGAATGGACATCTGCTAAATCTTCAGCCTCGACCCCGCCACGGCAAGCGGACAAGAGTCGGTAACGAGGTACAAACACCCACGCGAGTGCAAGAATCTACGCCCAAACCTGACGAACGGCACAAGTCTGGAAGCAAAGAGAGCACCGGCGCTTCGCCTGACACGGCTCCGCGAAAGAGAACCCCTACAAAACTACCCCTTCCAAAGTCCTTCACCGACAAGGAGAAACAGCAACCAAAGGAAGCCCCCACAACTTCTGAACAGAAAGGTCACCGTGCAGATAGAGTTCTCCAGCCGAAGAGGTCATTCGGGGCACTGCAGCGTTCATCACCCAAGAGATCAGACAACGATCGTGACCAATACTGGCGGAAAGTAAAGGATAGATTTGAAAAAGAGATTCCCGGAGGGTCGTTCACTAAAGAGAAGCCGAAGGAATACTACCAGGAGGCCTACCGAAAGATAGTTTCACTGGCCAACTCCCCAAGACAGGAGATTGCCAAACAAAAACAGAAATTGGCAGGAGGGGCGCCTCGGGGCGACAAATTAGTCCTCCAAGGCCCGAGCCCTCCAACAAAGATTCCAAATTCCAGCGACGGTCGAACAAATTTCGGGCGCAGCGCGAGAGAAGGAGGAGCAAGTCTCTCTACTGGTCAAAGAAAGCGGCCGAGCAATGGAACTCAACGAACGCATCTGAACTTCAGCAACTCCACACCGGCAATATCATCTGAAAGGACAGACACCAACACCGACTCCTCCGAACACTCACATCCCTCAGTTTCTCCGATATCCGCCCCGTCCAGCTCCCTAACCGAGTGGGAAGACAAGTTCGTTGTCAATATGCCTTCGGCTAAGGAGCCCAACCCTCCAATCATGAGTACTCAACAAATCTCCGATTTTCAGCAAAGCATCGAGAAAGTCCATAAGGAAGGCGGGGAGATGCTAGATCCAGACACCCTCCCCAGCCCGCGTACCAGAACTCCCGAGGACAGCACTAACAATCCTACTGGGCAAGAAAAGACGTCAACAGGCCTTGATGGTCAGGATACACGTATCGGCCGCCCTTCTGAAGTCAGTGATTCCAACTGTTCAGCTGGACATCGTCGGTATTATAGCCCAGAAGAGGTCGGAAAGCAACGGTTCAGTACTATATGGGAAGAGGCTCCTGCAAAAACTGCAAACAAAACCCCTGCTGCAAACCCAGATGGGTCTTTTTTAGGGTGCAAGGAAATCAATGGGCCATACGACAAGAACCCGGACGAGATCCTGCTCTTCTCGATGACGGACGAGCGCCCCAGAATGATAGACATCCCGTCCGGACGGTCCAAGATGTCAAAGGAAGGGAAGCGAATCACCAGCAATCGTGGGACATCGACATCTCCAGAGAAAGCTGTCGTCCAAGAAGAATGGAAACCAATTTCTCAGAATTTGAAACAAGCCCAATGCTCGAAGTCCTTGCCGAAGACAATGTGTCAAGAAGCCAAATGCCGCCCGGCGGAGAAGATGGAGGTCTCTGCCAAAGCGTCTATGACAGAGAATCTGGATCCGTCAGAGAACACAGTCAAGCAGCACGACAAGCAGAAGTTGGGCCGCAAGTCGGACGATGTTTTCATTATCACACCCACTATCACACGCACTATGGTGACCATGGCAGATTTGAGAAGCAGCCCCAAAAAATCAGACGCGCAGGAGCCCACCTCTCGCGCCGCAGGAGAGATAATATCGGACTCTCGAGTAAAACAGACAATGAGCAGCTCGACATCAGGCTTGCGAAGGGCGACCCAAAATTCTTGGGGAAAGTCAAATGCGCCGTGCGCAATATCTTCAACTGCAGTCCCTCCTACCAATCCACATCCATCCCCCCAAAGTCGAACAGAATCCGACCGTACCTCTCCACAAAGACCTCGCGCTATTCGTGGGTTCATCCGTACGCAAGGGCTGCCCAGGCCCAAAACAGGAAACTCTGGTGAGCCCGTGCGCTATAATCAGCAACCCTATGTTGCCAGTGTATCGCCTAAAAGAGACAATTCAAATTCGTTGAAGAGCGCATCGGATACGACACTTGTTGAGAAGCCGTCGACCCCCGAGACAATTTCTCCTGCGGCTTCGATAAGCAAAGACAGGGTTAGGCAGGACAGCGTTTCGCAAGAGGCTGAACCTATTGAAGTTGCTGAACTGGATGGGCAACAAGTGTCTGATACAGCAAAAGAGTTGTTCTACTCTAAGATCACTGATTTCAATACCGATCTTCATACCAACGGGTTGCCTACCAACAACAAGGAAGCCCCAAGTCAGGAGATAATGGGCTATGTCAGGGATGCTCTTATAGAACTCTCTGGCCAGCTGCAAGGTCTCTATGACGAAATCATGGCCAATCGGCACTCTCGGGCTATGCTAGTGAAGATCGCCTTCAATAACGTCCTGAAGATGATCGAACACTGCTTGCATGTCCTGAAAGATCTCCTGGGGATCCTGGCCCTTTACAATACAACAGGATCCTGGCCAAAGCCGAACCGCGAGGACTTCGCCCGGTCATTGATCGATCTTTGCAAAGCTATGGTCTACCTCATTGCCCTTGGGTTCGTCATGATGATCATCGGCCGAGCAGCCGGATACGTGGTCCTTATCGGAAGCTGGATCGTGTGGTTTGCAAGACCCTTTGCTTGGTTGCTAGGGGCATTAGGAAGGGCCCTATTGGTATAAGCTGGTCTTTCGATGGGTTTGGTTGGTTTGGTTGTGATATAAAGCGGTCCTTAGCTCGGGTTATGCTAAGGCAACTCCAGTTTCTGCTTGCTCGCTTTCCATTCTTTTCAAGCGTGACGGGGAAGCACATGAATGTTCCTTGCTCAACCGTGTGTCAATGTTGGTTGGTTATCATGTATCATGTTTCTCCCAGTATTTTTAACGTAATGCGGTGTGTATCCATTATTACCTCCTGTACCTAGTCTAGTCTAGCGACTTGTTCAATGTTAAATGAAATGCATCTTGCTTAATGTTGTTTTCCTCCCATAGATATAAAATGCATTCTGCCCTCGAAGTACTTAGGCAATGCATCGGGCTCTATCGGCTCCAAAAATAAAAGGAACGAGATATGGAGAGAGAAAATCATGCTTCTATTGAATTATAAAAGAAATGCTAGGCATCACAATACTCGCCCAGCCAGCACCTGTATTTCACCACCACAACAATAACAAGGATGCATGCAATAATGTTGAATGCAGAGAGGAAAGGTGAGAGAAGAAAACCCGGATATATATGGTAAGATGCGAATAAGAGGGAGGAAAAGAGAGAGTTGATTAAGTAAAGAGCCCAAGAAAGGGAAGGGAAAAAAACAAATATCAAATGCTCCATTTAGAAGAAGACTCCGTTCCAAATCCCATGTTGAAGAGGATCACTTTTTGTTGAAATGCATAAAGCCCAACTCCGTCATCCATAGTGTGTTGAAGATCGTAAATACCCCCGGAAATGTATTTTCTGTAAGCCGTCTCTTTGGGTAGAGTTGAAGAACAAAGAGAGAGAGTAATAGAAATGAGATAAGAAAGCTCTTCACTTTTTCGGAAAAAGAGCTTTATCATGAATAGATAAAAATAGTGTTGAAGATGTTATTTTTCCATGCTCGATGGGGTTGCAAAAGCAAAAATCCGAAAATTGAGGGTTGGGGGTATAATTTTTGGAAGGTGAAGATGTCATGTTGAAATAAAAGAAACGCTCAGGGAAGAAATCGTTGAGAGGTCTTCATGGTCGTGCCGCCGTAAAACGTTGCAAAAGCCCGGGAGTGTTCATTCGGGCAGGTAATCGTTGAGGTTGATATGTTGAATTAATAGTATATGTTGAATTAGGAAGTCGTAAGTGAGGTTGAAGAAAAGCATATAGTGTATGGCGGACTGTCCCCACGGGGGCTGCAGGAGCCACATCTAGTTTTTCACTGCAAGTTCCGGAGCTGCTCCGTCAGTCGCGCCATTGGTCGTTCCGTTTGTTGCTCCGTTCGTGTGAGCTTTCGGCTCACCGTTTTCGACTGGGATTTCGGTATCAAGTTCGCGGACATCCAGGTCCTTGAAGAGATTGAAGAGGTTGCTGGTGTTGTGGAAGTCGTTGTTGACTGAAAGGTTCGTGTTAGCTATCATTATTTCAACAAGGGCACTATATCGTGAACTCACCAATGTTGACAAGGTGCCAGTTGTCCATCACGCCCTGAATCAACTTCCTGCTGGGGCTGGAGGCATCATGGCATTTGGCCCAGTCGTCACCTAGACGGTATGCCTCGTCCTTCCAGGCCAGGAAACTGACAGTCTCCACGATTGTGGGCTGGACGATCTCTCTTCCGGCGAAGATACCCCAGGTCAGGGCATTGGGGCTATCACGGGTGTTGGTGCGCAGTTCACCAGTCTTCGAGACAGCATGGTACGTAAGATCACCATTCTTCTCGATGCGAGCGATCAGCTCATCGATCAAGTAAGGCGGGACCAAGAGTTCAAGATATGCCTTTTGGTAAACATATCCATTCTTCGGTCCCCATCCATACACGGGGTGGGAAGACTTGACACCGTTCACTGCCGGCTGAGAGTTGATCGTGAAGAGACCCTTCTGGTTCAGGTCAATGAGACTGGTCTTGATCGCGTTGGCTTCAGTAGTGATGGGGGTGTCGCTCCAGGGCAACCGGGCCAGCTTTCCTTCGAGGAAATCGACAAAGATATGGGTAAGATCCCGAAGAGACTTGGGCTCTCCCCACAGCTTGATGTTCTGCTCGTTTGTACCCTTGAGGCCGATGCCATAGCTGTCGAGTTCGCCGAAAGCAGGAGAGCGAGAATCGGTCCAGCGACCGTTGGGGAATTCATCCCAGGTCTGCGTACGGGCGATGTAGGAAGAGTTCCGGTTCCTCCAGAAGATCGGGCGAACATCCTCGGCTCTGCGGTTCAAGCCAAGAGATGGCCTCCAAGGCAGGGCTCTCTGGAGCGGTGTCTCTTCGGAAGGCATGAGGTTGAGTTCGTCAAGGACCAATTGTGTGGACTGCGCAAGGTTCATTGTGTAACTAGTCGACCCCTGTTAGTCATTGCCTGAACGAATTAGTCAAGGCAGACGGAAGGAAACACTTACAAGTGCAGGTGGTTGATACCAGCCGCAATGAGCCTCCTACACATGTCTGCAATCAGCCGCTTCCCGATGTCCCTTACAGCAGCGTCGTCGTTCTTCACAGGTTCCAGTGCCTCGAGCCAGTCCGGGGGGATGCGAGTTTTGGTCCAGTTCGATCGACGGATGAACGCAGCGTAGGTTTGAATTGGCATGATACCGGGGATAATGGGCACATGGATGCCCCTATCCTTACACTTCTTGACCCAGCCGATGAAGTTGTCCGTGTCGTAAAACATCTGCGTAATGACAAAGGATGCCCCAGCATCGACCTTCTCTTTCAGATGGTCGATCAACTGGTCCACATCCGGGTTGTCATCCGCACCTTCCGGATAGCCTCCCACACCAATATCGAAGTGATTGCCATACTTGCTCCTGATGTACTTGACCAAGTCTTTCGCGTAACGGAAGCCTCCGTCAGCAGCTTCCCAAGCCTCCTTGTCACGCGGAGGATCTCCACGAAGAGCCAGAATGTTGGTGCAGCCTGCTTTGTAGGCCGCCTGGAGCGCGGCGTCCACCTTCTCCTGGGGCATGTCCGTACAAGTCAAATGCATGCATGTCTCCAAGCCATACACCGACTGGGCAACGTTTACCATCTCACAGGTCAGGTCCGATAGTCGGCCACCAGCCCCCCACGTGATATCAATGAAAGAAGGACCTAATGCGTGCATGCGGTCCATTCTGTCGTAAAGATTCTGAACACCTTGGGCCGTCTTCGGGGGGAAGAACTCGAAGGAGATGCCCGTCCTTCCGGCCGCTTCATTTTGAGCGAGCTTTTCTTTGATGTGCATGGCGGAAAGTTACACTAGTGGTTGGCAGAGTAGGTCAGATTCTGGTCCGTGACAAGAGTGATGAACCGGCAATTCAGGAGCCAGAACAATGGTTGTCTGCTTAGTAGGAGAACTGGACTTACACGTCCCAGACCACTTCAGGAGAACAAGATTACTCTGGAGCAGGAATCATACACGTCCTGCTTTCGAACGCAGTTCAGGTACTGATGTCGTTGACTTAGTGGCTCACCGGTTCCACCAGGGACAGCAAGACCACGTTATAAGGGAGGGAATACGGGGATGAAAAACAATTTTTATATGAAGCTGCACCTTGTCAAACCTGGAAATCCCCGAAGGCAACAAAAACGACGGACAAGAGAGAGAAAGAGGAAAAGGAAGAAGTAAGCAGCAGGGACAGCAACGAAGTAATCGAAGCCGGTGGAAAAGGTGGGGTCTGCTTTTAAGCCGCCGGTGTGATTCAGTTGGGCGAGTTGGAATCCATCCACCCAGCATTCAAAGAGGGGGGCCGGCCTTCGGAGATGGTGGGCCGGCACGTGCCCCAGTCTGACTGTCCCTTCTTATTAATGGTTGTTCCCGCAATACTTTACTCCGTAGATAGTATCGTATCATCAATTCTCCCTTCGACATATTCATCGCAGGCAAGGGATGGCTTTGCTAGGACTGAGTTCAATAAATACACAGCCCTTTGCAATGGACTTACTTATTTATACTACTGAAATTTCCAATTGAATGCGGAAAAATCTTACATGTTTTTATCTAATTTCACTGTGTCTTTGCAAAAGATAGTTACTATCTCTCCGCCGGTTCGGAGTCTAAACCTCCCGCGTCCCGAGAAACACCGAACAAGAGGAAAAAAGAAGGGGGTTCATAAAAGCCGAAAACAACAACATTGCCAACATAGAAAGATAGTCTTAAAGCACACATTAGAGCGTTGAATTTTAGGCTATTCAGTGAATAGGATATCGATGTAAATTCCGGCGGTGATGCTCAACACCATAGTACTAGCAGATACTTCTAGTTAGTACTTGCTATATATAAACACCTTATGGTTGATAGTAGTAGTATAAGTACTTCATACTACTAAGTAGTTCTTAGTAGTAATTGAACCACTAGTTTGCCAGCGATCTAGAAACACTCCAATTCACGCTATAGCAGGAGTATCTTCAGAGATGTTCAAATCATACAAACCGTATTTCTCTATTATCACAGCAAGTTCATTGGACAAAAATTAGCACGCTTTTTCTCTCCTAAGCCTGTTAGCGGCATAAGGAGCACAGTTAGGATACCCTGCCCAACATATCAACTTCCACTACTGTCTGCTGAAGTCAAGGTCCTGAATAGTCTAGTAATCATCATGAACACACTTTCGACTAGGCTATTGCATGGCTAGCCATAAGCACATCCAATCAGATTACAATAGAATGTGACAAACAGCTATTTCTGCATCATGACACGAATATGTCTGATGGCTGCTAAATGCACCTGTGCCCTTGTGCAAAAGCATACCAGAAAATTTGCAGCTCCAACTTGAGCTTGGGCAGCACATCATACATGCCTAAGCTTCATGACAACTGCTCATGTCTTGCTGATTTAGGCAAACTTTATGAGGATTCCCCGGCAAGACCAGCCGACTGTAGTACTAGAAGCGGCTCTCATATCTACATTACTAAATCAGGCTGATGTTCAGCTCCAAGAGGCAAAAGACCACCACCATGAGGTATATACGGCTTATTGTGAGCACGACACAGTCTGGACAATCTTACTAGGTTATACTGATAAGTTCTGACAGGCGCTAGGACCGACAATTGCGGTTTTCCATTGTTTATTTTTTTTTATTTTCTTTCTTTTTTTCTAGAAAAAAAAAAGTCTTCTGCAACTCTGTTCTTTCTTACAAAACAGCAAGCCCATCTTAACACTTCTGCCATTGGATCCTGATATGCTATGCAAAGCCACATCAGATTAGTAGATTACCTTTTGCTATTCTTGATATATACTAAGAGATCGTGCGCTTCACTATCACTCGGATGAGATTGACAGGCTAATTGGCAAGCTCCTCAACTTGCTTCCATGCGTCAAATGAAAACATGTGCTTCTACCAAAGTCCAGTACAGATCTAGCGCAAAGGATGATGTCCTAGATTGTTCGACACATTCCATAGTTTGCATAACAGCACCTATCACGCTGAAGTACCTGCCTGCAATTTCATCTGCATCCTCGAAACAACAGCTAATGCGAAACTGCGGAAATAACTGCCTGCCATGTCTCTTTTCCTTGATGTCTTGCTTCCGAGTACACTGTCAATATAGAGTACCTATTTTTGGCATTCTGTTCCCTCTTCAACTATGGTAGTACATACTAACGCTCAGACCTGTCATGGATGCGACAGATAAATAGTAAATTGACACCACAGTAAACATGCTGTACAATGCTGTGAGATCTTAATCTTCAAGCGGTTGCCGTATAAATAGATGGGGTTGTTAGTAATGTATGTTACAGCGGTGGTGCAGGGAAAGGGCGGTTGAAGGCAGCCACAGTTACTCAATTACTATAGTGGAGTCACTTCGCATTCCGAAACAGATTGATTGACAGCCAGACTTGATTGAAGGCTTGAGTCATACGATGAATTTAACTAATTCCGAGTTGAATGATGAAATGCAATGGCGCAACATCAACTCCGTTCTACCGCACGTTCCAGAGGAAGGAACCAAGGAGCCCTAGAACTTCGATTATGAGCGGCTACAGACATTAAAGTGACAAACTCACTCATAACACAGAATTTCAAGTCAGTGCTACCCTTGTGTCCTTCGAATTCGGTCATAGATGTGACTCCGGTTTGTGCCGCTTTACAATAAAGACCTCTGCGCAAATTATCAAGAAAGGTAAATTGGCTCAACCTTGGGTGTTATATTCAGTAACATACTGTAATATCTAATATTCCCTCAGGCTGAACAGAACACATAGTCCATATCATTTCCACCTGCTGGGGATTGATAGACAGACATTCATATCCATCAATCTAGCTCTTCTTAATAAGGCCATTAGGTGGAGTGTTATTCGGAACCGCCGCACGGGGAGACCGGTGAGGATGAGATCCCTGTGGCGACCCGGCAATGAGGTAACACAGGAATCTGTCTCCAGGGTTTCCTAAGAAAAGAAAGACTAGAAGCTTTACTTGCATCTTGCTAAACAGTCGGTGAATACCCGGGTAAATTCTTACGTATTCTATCTTTCCCTCCCTCCATTGTGATTTTACTTCTGACCAGGAAATTTTGAACCCACTCCCGGCCTCCGGAGTATCCAAATCAGAGTAGAATGTGAGTTCCAGTCTACTAGAGTGTGGGCTCTGCAGGATGCCTCTTCCCTGTTCTATCATTAGCCATATAATATTCCATCTGCCTGGTCGGCCAGCGCGCTTGGGAACGCTATCAACAAAGGTTCGCAGATGACCTGCATGAGCAGCTAAGCTAAAGCCTTGTCTGTGATCCACAAAAAGTGATATATAAGCTTACTACCATGCGATGTCGAACAAGTCAACTTTGTCCGGGGTCTGCAGTATCGATGCAGATGATATGTGCTTGGGCCCCACTGTCAAACCATGTGCCTATAGGACTTACCGGCACCTGCACACTAGATAGTCCAGCTCACTTGGGGAGGCAAAAGCCTGAAGATCAGAAATGGAACTGTGGCTCAGACGCAATATTGCCTTCAATGGCAGATGGGCAAAGTTCACTACACTGTGCACAGACCATACGGCGGTAAACCCAACCCAGGTTCTGTCTCTCCACTTCTTTTACAATTCCATTGTGCATGCAACCTATTGCTAATGCCATATGAGTGAGCACATCATCTCGGATCACTCAAATACCAGACGAATGGCAGTCACACCGCATAGAAGGAAGTACCGGTCGCTAAGAACCGAGGGGAAGTTGCCATAGTAGTAATGATGCCCATTGCCCATTCATTTCTGACGTCTCCGTCTCCTGTGTCTGCTCCGACTCTCTCAAGACTGGCAAATGAGGCGACCGCTCGTTGTCGCGAAATCTGACAACAAGGAGCTGTGGGGGGCGCGCTGAGAAGATCTACTGCCGCAATGCCCAAAAACTAATGCATGCATTCAAAGTTTTCTAAAGCCACTTGGTATACTATCCAACTGCTGCATGATATACACGAGTGCGCCTTGAGCCTCTCAAGGAAGGCTGGGCTCCGAATGGTACCAGTTATTGTGGACCTTGGCATGGGGCACACCGGCCCTCTCGGTCAGACATGTCAGGACACTAAGATCTTATGGTGTCTGGTCTTCTGGCAAGGTTCTACTGGTATCTGAGAGTTGGAAATTGCTCGTATTAGAGAATAGCAGTGATGTGTTCAGTTCGCACCAGATACCCAAGCATGGCTCTATCGGGTGAAAGATTCGATGCGGTCCGTGCTCGGTGGATGACAGTAACACAATCCAACGCTCAATTTTTGCAATCTTTGCATATGTATCTGATATGAAAGACTACCGGAAGACAGGGTTCGATATCATGTGGATCGAGCTGATGTGTTGTTGATCATCGTTCGTCCGAACGGTAGGTGAGCAGGGACCCTAGTAGCCATCATCGGAATAACCAGCCGCCAAAATTACCCAGATAAAGGGATAAGATTAGGGACCAGCTTTGACTTGGAAATTCGACAAGCGGTCTGGAGTGTGGCTTTCTCCACTTTGGCTGCATGAAATCTTCAGAAGAGCCAATAGCAACTTGACTGAAGCAGATTGAGTCGCGCTAATCTGAACTTAAGAGTCGCTTCAACCACAGCTACGGTATCTAGTCGCATCTTGGAATGTCTGCCTGCATTCATGCCATCGCATCGTGGCAATAATGCCAGGGGCTTGCGTTTTTGAATAGCCACAAATCGACTGCGGTCAATGACAATTATATGAGACTAAGCTAGTGAGAGGTTCGGTATGGCATCGTGGACATTCACCTCTTTCCATGGATTCGTTGGGATTACAATACCGCCCGAGGCAGGTAGCAGTTGTGCGTGGCTTGCCGATGCATATTACATGTCACTATCATTTGACAGTTGTCCCGACGCCACGAAACAGGCATGAAACTATGAGATTTCGAAGCAAGGGAGCGCGTCTATCGCCAGGGAAAATTACTGTTAGTGGATGTTCTAAAAAGTCCCGGTTCGGGTTTACGATCGATCCAAAGCGTCACACACACACACCTATTTTTCCCCTTCTCTTTATCTCGAGCGATGAGAGCACCCAACTAGACCAAGGCATGACAAAGATTTATAATCAACGTCGGAGCAACTTCTCTGAGATTTTACATGAGTACGTATATGCTTCATCTGTGTGGCACAATTCTTTTGGCCATTCATGACTTACCCCACATAATGGAGGATATTCTGAGTAGGAGCAAACTTGCTCACTTGTTCCCAAGGACCTCTTGGTCCCATGGCTGGCTGAACAGATCCTACTATATCTGTATGTTTCCTCTTCTTCCTATATACACAGAAGCTATCCGACCTTCTTCTTGGGGTAAAACTATAATTTTAGACGAAACCCCATTATTGGGTGGTTCTTGGTATCTCCCTGTTAGTAGCTTATTCTCCTTGCATGACCATCGCACCTTATAAGGATAGATGGCATACTTAACTTGATATTGCAAGCTCTGAGAGAAGGGGAGTAAGCCATCACTTCATAGCACAAACTTGATTGACGGCCAAACTTTTCCTGTACCATGAACGAACCCACTTAAGAAGCTATGAAGCAAGGGAACTGAACAAAAAATGACTTTGATAGTCAGACTCTATGACAAAGGTAATTATGTGGCAACTTCTCACTTCTAATACTTCCGAAACCTGCCAAGTATATTGCTTCTGTTAGGTATTCTCCCCTCCTACCGGACTGCAACTTTGCTTTTTCCATGGTCTGAGCACCCAACGATTAACTTCCGGCGGTCGATCGCAGCGATAAGAGGCTAAAGCTCTGACAGGGGTCCACCGCGTCATGAATTTTGAGCATGTTCCCTTGTAATATCACTCGAGGTTGAATGGTTAGTCGTTCAAGAGGGCAAAGGCTTTGTTTCCTTTCACCAGGAGCCACTTGCAATGTACTCGGTATTTGAGAAAATTAAGTAGCACTACGGTCTATCTCGATGCGAGTCATGGAATGACGTATCACAATGCGGACATAAATGCAAAGACAACTACAACTGCTCGGCTAACCCGAACGTTCCGATCAACAAAGGCAGTTACACCGTCGTGGGTCCCAGCATTACGCACGTGACGAACTGATTAGTATCAATAGTCCTCTTCTGACCCGCTTTCTGCCGTGTCCAAGAGAGCCGCTAGAATAAGCCAAGCTCTTCCGGGTCCTCGTAAACTAAGACTTCAACAGTCCGTAATGCGCTCACCACTTGCATCCAGTATCTGAGGCTTAGCGCATGCAGTCCTGGATGGGCAGCCTGGTTTTCTTGCGATAAACAGAGTGTGAAAGGCGCAGACCATGACAAAATTGCGACTACGTGGGCAAGCCATTGTTGCTGATAGGCCGGTGCGTCAGCAGATATTGAAGTTTAAATATAGCACGGATTTAACACGAATTGTACGGGTGTGCATAAATTTCTGCTGCCTTCGCTTTCTTTCCAGACTGCCTCGTGGAACACGATCGCCGTCGCGTATTGCTGAGGCCTAATCTCGAACATGCTTGCAGCTGAGGGTTACAAGGGTGCAAGGCGAGCGTTCCCACCGTTATAGTATATTGTCGACGGCATAAACAAGGAGTAGAGGAGCCAGGAAGGCCGAGAATTATAGTAGTAGACCCTATGTAGTAGAACCGTACGCGTATCCTATCAAGACACTTTTATTACTGAATTGCTAGTACGTAGCCAGCATCCGTCTAAGCAGGCGATCTGACACGGTTTGGCATTTCAGAGTATATGCTCACTTACTATTGAAAAGCATGTGCTATCGAGTGTACTATCAGAAGATGCGCTGTATCTTGCATTGGCGTCGATGAGACAAAAAAAGAATCACATTTGATATGAACCATGCATTGACTACTGTCCGAACGACTATCGTGATAAGGAAGAGAGGAACGCCTCATACTGTGAGATACTTGACTCTGATGTGATATATCAGGCTCCCTGACTTGGAACGAGCGTATCTTAGCGGGATCAACAGTACCCGATGGCGCCAGAGTTCAGCTAATGGGAAAGCGTAACTGGTTCCCGCCGGCCCCACTAATCGCCGCAAGTGGTAAGGATTCTGGGTTGTCGGTATCCGTGGAACGGCACTCCGATACATGGATACCTTCATTCATACATCCATCGTACATACAGGACACAGGACTGACTACCGCTTGTCCTCGCTTCGTGTCTCCTCCCAGCATCCCCCTCCCACCTTCATCTTCCCTCGAAACCAATGGCCATCTGCAAATTCTCGTTTTGGATGGCAAGGCGATGTGAGCCCAGTCATCACGGAGGTTCCGGTGGCTGGACTCGGAAATCATGGCCCAAGCCCCCGTTCTCAAGTCATGGCAGTATCTCCATCTCTGCCTTGCTATTTGTCTAGTAGTACACCGATGAGAACTAGTCATCGGCATTGAGCAGCATGATGGCAACCTGTTGGGAAGGATCGTCGTTTCTTTTTTCTGTATCAGGCGATATCGTTCCCTCGCTGAGCTTCCTGTCTGCTTGTATATCATCGTCAATGATGCTTTCTCCCACTTATCCACTCTGATCTTCATTCTTGCAGGATATCGGACATATCCTCGGGCATATTGTTTTTCTTTTTTTCTCTTTTTGGTTTTGCTTTTATTTCTCCCCTTATTGTCTTTCTATTCTTGCGTTGCCGCCACAGCAGCTGCATCTGTTGTGGGTACATCTTTTACCTTGCTCGGTTTATCTGCTGCCCATGATTCGCTAACACTCTTCTACAATAGCCCCCCAAAAGCATAAGAAGGAAGACAGACTACGGCATCCTTGGGCATTTTTCTCAGCGGCCATCCCCTACACGAAATACTGCCCCAGTTGGCTACCCTCCTGGTCAACACTCGCTAGCTTCTTAGAATATATGCCGAGCATATAGTACGGAAGAAGCAGAGAGCGGTTTATTTTTCGTGCCCGTTGACGATGAAGTGGGGGTTCGCAGGCTCGCTGCTTGCGCTCTTCGCACCAACAACAACAGCCTGGCCCTACGAGGCATCTTTGGTCGACTACAACCTCAATGTCAACAAGACTGCGACTAGTCCTTTCGAATACTCTCCACCAGCATGGCCGGGTCACAAGTATACGGAGTCACCCAAGAACTGGCGGTTTCCGTTCTATACGATTATGTTAGACCGTTGGGTCAATGGGGACCCAGCCAATGACAACATTAACGGCACTGTTTTCGAACATGATCTCAATTCCAATCAAATGCGACATGGAGGTG